ATTAAAGATAATTTTAAGCGTGAAAACTGTCCATATTTTGATGTCATGATATGTAAATTAAAAATTGTTATTTTACGGTGATAATCTTGTTTTCTTGTGCCCAATAATGCATAATTTCATTTGATAAATACGTTTAGATTGAATGGTAATTTATAATCAGTCACAAGAACGTCGAATCTGAATCACTTGAAAAAAAATACGGGGGTGCTTAACTTTTTTCCAGGTGTATATATTAGCTTCAATCTTCTTGACATGGGATACTTAGACCTCTACAGATATTCAACAAAACAGTTTTATAAAATAACGAAACCCCACCCCTAGCAATAACACAATATTTCACTCAGATTCATAGATTAAAAATTATGAATGATGTTTTTATTGTAATTGATGAATTATTGAACATGTATAGCTCAAAGAAATGCGTAAACATTTTCAAACAACAAAATAAACTTGACACAATTTTCGTGAAGCTATGGGTTCTTTTTATGTCAACGTTTAAACAAATTAACTCAATCACTCTGAACTTGCGTTACTTATCAGTTAGAGCATTTTATTCTGTCAGTGATATTTATTATCGTAGTTGTAAAAAACAAACAATATGCCTATGTCAATGTACGCTTTGTTTTGGGTTCAAAAACATTGTCCAGCTTTATAACTGCATAAAATTTACTCATTAAACTTAATACGGAAATGATTCAAAGAGAGAAGATAAACATAAATACCAAGGTTGAGTACGTTATGTTAAAACAACTATGTTCGGCGACTCGATCAGCATATCTTCTTAATGAATACTACGAATACCCATTTAACTCTCTAGCCGCTTGAGGTACGAGACGGTTGAACAGATATGTCGTTCAAGCAACTTGTGTACCCTTGACTTATGCAGCTTTTCTACACATAGATCCTTCTTGAATATGTTGCACACTGTTTCCTGGGGCACGTGGATAGCTTTTGCAACTGCCTTTTTGTCTTCGTGAAATTTCACCTGTTACAAGTAATCGCACTTTGCTTTGCATTTCTGGGACTGACTTGTTACACGACTCTTTCTGGATGAACGTTGGTCATTATAATTTTATATAAACGTACTCAACCCTTTGTACCTCACTTCTGATAGGACGATGTAATACACCACAAACGGAACCTAATTATTTCAATTTTCATCCTCAAACTAACACACTAATTCGATTTAATCACACGCCCGCGTGTATATTTAACTATAAACAACTGCTAGTGTACCATACAAGCCTGGCTAGTTTTAGCTATGCTGTCAATTCTTAAGAAATATACCTAAAACATAAACAACCAATCTTTCTTCAAATAAAAATAAATGAATTAAAGTCTTAATGAAACACGGATAAATAGAAATTTTCAAGCTGAAACAAAACTAGAAAGTTAACAACTAACAGGGTAATGTTGTGCGTCAGACATTATTTACTACAAGAAAGACTGCAAGCATACCTTTTTCATACAAAGTTCAATAGTAGGCGTTATTAAAATGGAAACTAAAATATTTGTAAATGCTTCGAGGCGACGTTTAATTTGTAATGATTTTCTATCGGACCTTACATAACTAAAAACCAAATCATCCTGACATAATTGAGCAATACCTATACTTTATGTAAACCGACAATTATCAAATTATGAAGGAGTATATTTTGCTTAGAAGTATACAACAAATTTTCCTTGTAAAAGCAGAAACAGTTTAAAATAGCCAAAACAGAATTTAAGTAAGATCGAAAACAATTTACAGTAATCTGTTTAAACATCTGAAAAAGCGAAAAGAAATTTAAATATTTCTAAATGCGTAAGTAATGTTTGAAGCAGTTTGAAAAATGCGTTGGGGTTGATTACCACATCTAGTCTTCAGATTTTTAAACACTGTTCTTTAAATCCTAGTTTTCTTCCAACAGACAAAGTGTTCACACTATTTCGGTTATTATTCATGACCTAACCTCTAGTTTATTTTTAGAGAACACTTAACATCAGTCTACACGAACGAAAGCTTTATGAAGAAACTGTATTTGCTGAGACTTGTAATTGCTGAAGCCAAATTTGGCTTCACAATGTACGTGATTTCACTCGCAAACTACAAACAAAGAAAAGTTAGGAACCCCACTTCAAAAGAACCCTTTATACATACTTAATAATCTAGTTAAAACAGTATACTTTACCATTTAACTATTAAAGCTATGTGTATGGTCTGATTCTCTTTCCCACATTTGTTCTCTCTTTATTAGAAGTAAACAAAAAAAGCAAACGTTGCCATACAGTAATTTGAGATTCAAAAGAATGACTTGAGAGTGAGTTCACACTACTAAAGACACAAGTTCTGGTTTCTAGTGTTGACTATTTAAACTCAAGAAATATGCTTATTAACTGAAACTGTTCAAGCCATATCATGAAGGATAAGAATAACGGAAAAGGTTAACGCTTCAATAAACTCTTATGGTAAAAATGTTTTATTAATCTGAATAAATGGTATTTTCTTTATTTCTAAAAGCAGCTACATAAAACTATATACCATTAATACGCTTATTTCGATATTAAATGGCATATACCAGATGAAAATATTTTTCAAATAACGTGTTTAACATTACTTTAAGTGTGCATATTATATATATATATATATTTAATACCTTTCACTTTGTAAGTATCTTAACCAAGTTTCTTTTGTGTTTATTTTAAATCCTATGTACGTGTGTGTGAACAATGAAATCACACTCCGTGACAATTCATAAGTAACGTCCTAGAGAGGACGTAATAACGATTTCAAGACATGCGGTGGGCAAACGTCCTTTTTAATTACGATTTCACGGAATCTCAGCGTTGTTTAAACAAGGAAAACAACGTGCCTAGAACTTAATATCAGCGCTTTCTACTTTCCCTGCACAACACACTAAGGATAGACTCCTTCCCTTTCGATCAACCAGTGACGTGATGAGGCAAGGAACTCGAAAACTAAGCGAATGCAAAAGAAATAACAGAGTCGCTCCTTTTCTCGTAAGACAGGAATTTCTAGGCGTATTAAACTATCTTTACACATATTAACGGTAGCCTAATACGCAAAAAAAAAAAGAGAAACAATATCGTGCACCATCGAGTTCAATATAAACGCCATTATACACAGTTATCGTACTAAAGATATCCATCTACAAACAGAAACGTGTCTACTATCCTTTTGGTGTGATAGAGGAAAATAATAAACCAATTAAAGAGAGAAATACCCTTTGTTCAATGTCACTTTAAACCAACATAGACAACTAAAACTTGTGTTTATTCCGAAGAGTATCAGTTTTTCTTATAGTATTACACCAGATATCACCGTTTAGGTGGACTTAATTACAATAAACCTTGCTATGTACCTTCACTTAGTTACCTCTTACAACTAAGTTCCTTAAAATAATATTGTGGTCTACGTTACACTATGCGTGTCTCAGAAGTATTTACCGGCATAGTTAATGTCCAAGCAAACTGTTTTCATAAACAGTTGAACTTTCAAAGAAAAAGAAATACTTACTTAACAGAAGCACCCGACTTTGCTACAAATGTTTTCCTTTCACAATCAAATTGTTGAACATCTTGAAACAAGAGATACGCGGCCGGAATACAATGATATTTCAAGAAGACAAAACAGTCACTTCCTATCGAACTTCTTCGCAATGAGTACAAGTTATAAATCTTTAATTTTTAGACTAGATTCTGAAGTGACGACTTCTGTAGTTATAAGTGTTTGATCATTGAGAATTAGTTACAACTTTACACATAAATAGCCCACAGAACAAAGTTTCTCAACCAAAGGCCAGTAGACAACTCAACAAACACTTTTTGTCTCGCAGTCGCTTTAACGTGTGTGTGAGAGACGGGCAAGCGCGTGAGCTCGTCTGCTTCTAGCCGTAGCTTCATGGGAGGGCCTATTTATTCGGGGTGAGGTTAGAAAGAATGGACACGAGAAAATGATGCGTTTTGGTGATATCAACAACTGCATATCGGGAAATGAACTTCGACGTTTTCTAAACAGCAATTAACCATGAATGCACAAAAGATCTACATTACATAACTCTTCTACCACGATTCACTGCCTGATATAGGATAAAGTTACAAAAACTCGCACTTACAGAAGAAACACAGATAGTGTGCACTTAATCAGGTATAACAAAATGTTTCCCTTTTTTCGTTTAGCACGTTTTTTTGTTATCCAAACTGCTTACAGCATCACTGATCATTATCTTTAGGTATAAGATCTTGTTTTAAGTACAACATTAAATCTAATGTTAAAGTCCAGTTCGGGGCTGTTCTTTTTTAAATTGCGACAGTGATGATGATGATGATCTGGAAAAGCAGATGTAAAAACCTTTGTCATCCTTATACCTTTTTTGATAGTTTTACATTGTGTGCGCGCGCGTGCGTTCAGCACAAGTTTTCTTAGATATCTCGAGAGTGTATATAATTTTATAATTTGTTACCAAATCCAAATAGAACAAACTAAAAGCAGACATGAATAATCATGTGCTGGGAGTTAAATGTGTAGTGCAAACATTCGGAACCTATATGCATGTTCTGAGTTAACAATATAGGATGATAAAGCGAGACAGATTTATAAATACAGCAAGATAAAAACATCAACCATCAGTTGAAGGTGACAATTTGGTTGATAGTTCGGATTAAGCTCATTCATTATGATAGTCCCATGATCTCGTGTTATTAGCAATCAGTCAGTTGCTCGTATTGTAGACGAGTGGGAAACACGCAACTGTGACCTCAGTTTTATTGTTCCTGGCCTTGTGTGAACTCTTACTGTAACCTTTAAACTATTATCACACTATTTCCTGTACCACTGCTACGTCCATGAGGGTCTATTCTAATACAATCGGATATTAAGATCGGTCTGTATATAACGTTTCATAACGTAACTACATTAAAACAAAAAACAGATTCTGCGGAACAAAGCATTTTTATGCCGATAGAAATTGTAAACGGCTTCTAAATTAATGGCAACGAACTATTTGTGGAATAAAAACAGGAGTGGGGCCAGCATATCTTTATCCACCCCCACAGGGAATTATATAAAAACTATAATTTTTATACTGTATCTAACCTATATAAAAGTCAGTGTCACGTCTCGCTTGATTTCTCTAAATAGTGCACTCCAGCCTATTACTATTAAACAACGTGATAACAACACTATCCATAAGAAAAAGTGTATTATTAGTTAAAGTAGCTGTATAATCTAACGGTAACCTATATAAAAAGCGTGTGTGTCACGTCATGTAACGCTTGATTTCTCGAAATAGGGGTTGTCATAAAAGCCCAAATACATTTATCCAGATACAATAGATTGATTACTGTCTATCCATTACGATTTTAGTGACGAGGGCAGTGAGGATGGGGGTGCCGTGAAACCTTATAAGTGTAGTGAATGTTGGGATCATCTAGCCTAGAGCCAGGTGCATAAATTTATCATGAAAGTAAAATATCTATTCAATTTTAAACTTAAATCGTTTCTGAATTAAGTTATTTTCTGTTATATCACCAACGTTTTTAATAAAAACAAACTCATTTAATCAACGGAGACTAAATTGAGAAATCAGCAAATATTTTTCAAGTTTTGTTGTTTATACATTTCATTTTATACTTTCAATATGAAACAACATGACATAAAATCCATTGTTGGAACGCAGTGTTACCAAAACGCACTGGCTTTTCTTTGTATTAGAAGTTTTAATCTAATTGATTTTTACAAATAATTATTCTATGAATACGCTACAAAGTCATATCATGAATGATCTTAATTTTGATTGGCTCATAAAGGAACTTACCGACGTTTGACTGTCTCGACTCCACTTTTATACCTATACTGATCAAGCTTGATTTCGCAAAATTTAGTTCAGTTAGCTGTGAAATGTGAGGTTAGGGTATACTATGGAGTGGGTGTTCGGTGGTAATACTTGCCCCGTCATTTTTGATGGGCTATACCCTAGTTTTTACATAAATGCCACATCTTTGGCACAGACACTACACACGCATGAAAAATGTTGAACGTTTAGAAAGAATGCTAACTTATCACACCCGGCCATTGTTCAACATCTTTCTACTCCAATATAAATGAAAAATCGGTAGTAGTATGTGGTTAAACAAAGTTGATATGGCTCACAAAGTTTCGCAAGTTATTTTGGCATCTTCAGGAGACAACAAACACAATCAGTTTTATTGTCTAGAGATGCCAAGATAACACCGGCGAAACGTTGTGTGGCATAAATACTTCTGTCGCATGATGATGCTAGGTTAACACCTTATCAACTTTGTTTTTAACACCTAGTAGTGCCGATTTCCTATTTATATTATAGTTGTTACTAGACCCTATTATCCAGTCATATTCCTACTCTACTGACTATATACGAAAGGTTAGAATGTTTATTTCCCCGAAAGGGAGTTAAAGGTTACCTGTTTTACCCATCAAACCACAATACAGTAGTGTGTAGTCTGTAGGCGGGCAGTATACACCAAATTATGTCACATAAAGGACACTTCATGTTGCAATGTGTGCTGTCGTGACGTCAGTAAAACGTGCCTACACCATGAATTACGAGAAGAGTTATGCACTCTGTAGTAAAGCATATGTACGAACTTAAAATGCAAGAAATAAAAGTATTTTTATTCATTTTGGCTTTATTTACTTTTGAAACAAAAGTTTCGGGGACCCTGCGGAAGAACATCTAGTATTATAGGTAAGCGACTACTGAACATTCTGAAACCAACTACAATCTCCTTTGAAACATCGATTTCAACTACCTTTAACAAACAAGTCTGAATAATTTCCATAAATTAGTTAGGACTCTTTAAATGAAGAGCACTACTTCCTCAGTCTTATATGTTAAAGCTGTGGAAGTTTAATAGATGAGCGCAATATGCATATTTCCATCTATGGTAGTTTATTATAGATACAATACACTTTATAAAACAGTTATTAAAACGACGGTCATTGTTCGTTGTTGTATCAAAACTCAAACAGAACATTCAACAGTATACAAATTGTTTTCATCAACTTTTACTTAAAGGTATACGTTATCAAAAACCACGGAATGTAGTTTATATTATTTACTTTTTGTTTTAGTAGTAAATGTATATCTTCCCTTATATATTTAAAGCTTACACGTTTAACAAATATATGAATGAGAAAAAAGTGATTTTTTTTAAGAGTTGCAAACTGAAAAGCCTTGAAATAGTTATCATTCTCATCCAGCGTCTTCCACCACACGTGCGCATCATTCCCTTTCCCCTTCTTTTTGCCCCTTCAGTACATCCTGCTAAACAACTTTTAGCTTGCTTCACACAAGACAAAATGCAATTAAGTTCTTTAACTGGTTTGCTACTATCTTGAGCGACGTTTAGACCGGCTAGAACCAGATATCTTGGCTTACTGCAATTTCACAACAATGTTTCCTTCTTTACTCTTCCTCTCCCTTATTCGAAAGAAAACACAAGTATTTACTACTCAGAATGGTATTCTCTATGACTGAAACAGAATGTGTTGTATAGTTGTAAACGACATCAAAATCAAGATTATGAAACCAGTCAAAGCAAGCAGAATGTGAAACCCCATCAATCACTTACCCGCACAAACAATTTGTGAGCAGCATATGTCAGAGTGATTGAGCGCAGAATTTGTTTCACAAAACCTCAGATGATGCATATAGAAACAAATATTTATATGTCTAAAGAAGCATACACTAATCTGTTACACAATATACAGTCGTAGTAGCTCACATATTACATCATTTGTACCGACAAAAACAAAGTAAACAATAAGCAGGGATCAATATCTGTGCACAAGTATCGAAGTTCACAGTAACTTAATTTCTCAACATGATGCGGGCTTAAACTGTAGACCATTTTCGCGTCTTCCCAAATCACACACCTCGATCACACACAAGAACAGTGGCATTTCCAAGATTTATTCATTTACTTTTTTCTGTGTGGGGAGTGGGGGGAAAGTAAGGTAGAACAGTTAGTTGAGGGGTATAAAAATATTTTCACGTCAGTAGGAATCAAAATGTAGAGAATTTAATCATCTTAAAAGGCTACATACATCTCTGCTGAGAGCTACTGTGAGGCAGAATTCTCCATTGGGGGGGTCTACCACCCATGCCAGCTCAATGGGAACGACCCTGCACACATAAAGAAAAACGCCCCATCTTTACTCCTAAACGTCACACACTTCTCTACGGACAGACTGCTCAGCTGCATTCCCCCGAAATAGAAAGAAAAGGCTGTTTTGATACCATTTTTTTTTATTCCCATAAAACGCGATACTTTAACGAGAAATGTATCACGTTACACATAAAATATGACTTTCAAGAGTATTCCCCATCATTTTATATTATTTTATTCCATCTGTTTTTAATAAAATTTGGTTTAAATCACATATGTTTGACAGCTAAACTCTTACTACCAATGGTGTAATAAACGACCTGAACATGGAACAATTAAGTACAGCTTTCAACCTTGTCCAACTTCACTAAAATTACTAGTAACTGAATTAAATCACGTTTTGTACAAAGTAAGGATTTCCAGCACATCAACAGATCAAGAACAGTACTATACTCAATAAAAACGGTGCAATTCTGCTCTGTAAATTTTTCAACTCCCTCGATAAATAATAGCTTTTCAGCAAAGAGAAAAACCAAAAACTGAGGTCTTGCAGTCGGTATCTTGTACGTGACATTGAAACAGATTAGAAACTGATTATTACAAACCACATAGCCTAACCTCTTCTTACAATACAA